TATTCTCCATGGTCAGTCTGTGTGATATTCTCCATGGTCAGTCTGTGTGATATTCTCCATGGTCAGTCTGTGTGATATTCTCCATGGTCAGTCTGTGTGATATTCTCCATGGTCAGTCTGTGATATTCTGCATGGTCAGTCTGTGTGATGGTCTCCATGGTCAGTCTCTCTCTGTGTGATATTCTCCATGGTCAGTCTGTGTAATATTCTCCATGGTCAGTCTGTGTGATATTCTCCATGGTCAGTCTGTGTGATATTCTCCATGGTCAGTCTCTCTCTGTGTGATATTCTCCATGGTCAGTCTGTGTGATATTCTCCATGGTCAGTCTGTGTGATTGTCTCCATGGTCAGTCTGTGTGATATTCTCCATGGTCAGTCTGTGTGATATTCTCCATGGTCAGTCTGTGTGATATTCTCCATGGTCAGTCTGTGTGATGGTCTCCATGGTCAGTCTGTGTAATATTCTCCATGGTCAGTCTGTGTGATATTCTCCATGGTCAGTCTGTGTGATATTCTCCATGGTCAGTCTGTGTGATATTCTCCATGGTCAGTCTCTCTCTGTGTGATGGTCTCCATCATGTGACCGAGCAGTCACGTGGTCCGGTGATGTCACCAGGCTCCGCCTACCGGATAGGAAGTGGCCGCTACCAGCTTTACATCCCAGACACCGAGACATGGAGCCCCGAACCAAGAAACGGAAGGTACCGGGGGAGGGGGCAGAGTGGGCCTGGCTGGGGCAGGGGCAGAGGCCTGGCTGGGGCAGAGGGCCTGGCTGGGGCAGAGGGCCCATTGGGGGGGGGGGCAGAGTGGGCCCACAGGGGCAGAGGGCCTGCCAAAGGTAGGGCCTGGCTGGGGGGGGCAGAGGGCCCGGCAGGGGGGGGGCAGAGGGCCCTACTGGGGGGTGGGAGTGGGGCAGAGCGGGCCTGGTTGGGGGGGGGGCAGAGCTGGCCTGGCTGGGGCAGAGCGCCCAGCCTGGGCATGAGTGGCCCGGCTGGGCAGGGGGGCAGAGGGCCTGGCTGGGGGTGAGGGTCTGGCCAGCAGGGGCAGAGGGCCCTGCTGGGGGGCAGAGCGGGTCATTGGGGCAGGGGGCAGAGTGGCCCGCTGGGGCAGAGGGCCTGGCAGGGGGCAGAGGGTCTGACAAGCAGGGGCAGAGGCCTGGCTGGGGGGGCAGAGGGCCTGGCTGGGGCAGAGTGGGCCCATTGGGGCAGGAGCGGCCTGGCTGGGGTGGGAGGGGGGCAGAGTGGGCCTGGTTGGGGGCAGAGGGCCTGGGCCTGGGGCAGAGGGCCTGACTAGGGGGCAGGAGGGCCTGGCTGGGGTGGGAGGGGGGCAGAGGGCCTGGCTGGGGCAGGAGTGGCCTGGCTGGGGCAGGAGTGGCCTGGCGGGGGCAGATTGGGTAGAGTCTCCTGGCACAGACTGGCCTTGCCCTGTGTTCTGCTACTTCGTTAATTCCTTAGATATATTTTTTTTAATGTCATTTAAATAATTAAAACAATGTGATTTTGAAGTGAATTTATTAAATGTATCAACCTGTGACACGTGCAGCCCCCTGTAAATACCCCAATCCCAGTCTGAGAGCAGCAGGTGGGGGAGTAGTGGCATTAAATGACCATATTTGATGCTGTTGTGAGGGGATGGAGATCCAGGAATCCAATAAAAGTCACCTGTCTGCTTGAGGAGAACATTGGGGGTTTCAGGGTGAGAGGGCAGATTGGGGGTTGGGGGTGTCAGGGTGAGAGGGCAGATTGGGGGTTGGGGTGTCAGGGTGACAGGGCAGGTTGGGGTGTCAGGGTGACAGGGCAGGTTGGGGTGTCAGGGTGAGAGGGCAGGTTGGGGTGTCAGGGTGAGAGGGCAGGTTGGGGTGTCAGGGTGAGAGGGCAGGTTGGGGTGTCAGGGTGAGAGGGCAGGTTGGGGTGTCAGGGTGAGAGGGCAGGTTAGGGTGTCGGGGTGAGAGGGCAGATTGGGGGTTGGGGTGTCAGGGTATGAGGGCAGGTTGGGGTGTCAGGGTGAAAGGGCAGATTGGGGGTTGGGGTGTCAGGGTGGCTGGGACATTCCTGTAGGACTCCCACTTGTTTTCATGAAATCCTTTCTGTTGCTGGGGCTTCTTGGTTGTATTGTGCTGATGTCCTCACCCTATGGTACTATGTGACACCTCCAAGTCCACATTATTGGGGGGGGGGGGAAGTGTCCTATTTATCGTTCTAGGGTGGTCTCATTGATGATTTGCTGTTGCCAAGCTACCAATAAATTGTCAGTAACAATGTATCACACCGTTGATCTTGATGTATCTAGTGATTGGCAGTTCATGTAGTCCTACAATGGTCTGGATTCATGATATTCACATGTCTTGTCCCAAAATTTTGATAGACAGCAGCAACAGATTCTAAACGTGACTTTCACACCAAGAATCTCCTGTAGACTTGTTTGCCCTAATAACACAATGGCTTACACTAGCAAAGAAACTGCAGCACAGACACATCAATTATTAGTTCGTTTTTTTTGGTGGTCCTCAAAAATTGAGTGTCTGTGTAAACAGAGCTTAAATTCTCAAAATGCTCAAATATTTAATGGGACACTGTAGGGATTATAAGCATTCATATAATGGAAGTGGTTATAGTGCCTGGAGTCCTCTGATGCTGTCCTTCAATGCAGTGTTAAACCATTCCGTCTCATTGAAGTGGTTATAGTGCCTGGAGTCCCCTGGCGCTGTCCCTCCATTCAGTGTTAAACCATTCCATCTCATTGAAGTGGTTATAGTGCCTGGAGTCCCCTGGCGCTGTCCCTCCATTCAGTGTTAAACCATTCCGTCTCATTGAAGTGGTTATAGTGCCTGCAGTCCCTAATTTATTTTTTTTTGCGGTTTAACACTGAATGAGGGTCCCAGGCTTCCTATAGCTCCGCCCCCTACTGGAGGTGCGGCTATGGCAGAGATTACACACTTCTAGCCATACCGATCAATACCAGCAATTGGCGCTGTGATAGGCTGAAAGCAGTCAGCTGACACTCTCAGTCAATCCTAGCCACCTTTGCTGCTCAGATTCAGACCTACTACCTTATAATTCCAAGCAGTACAGAGGGAATCATTAAAGATAGTTTACTGCTAAATGGAAGAATTACACCAGGGGACTCCAGACACTATAACCACTTCAATATGACAAACCAACTACTATACACAGTGTCCCTTTTAAAGGGATATTGTAGTGCCAGGAATACAAAGCTGTATTTCCTGGCACTACCGATCCCCCTCCCCGTTAAATAAAGGGTTAAAACCCCTTTATTTACTTGCCTTATCCCAGCACACATTAGACCACCCCATAGGAAAGCATTGAACCAATGGGGAAAATCTGACACGGGAGGACGTCCAGCATCAGATAACGGACCAAAAGTCGGTTTTGATTCTGGAAGCGCCCTCAGTGGCTGTCTGGTAGTCAGCCACTGAGGGCAGTCTTAATGCTGCAATGTAAACGTTGTTCTCTGGAACTGCAATGTTTTACAAGTGCAAAAGGGACACAGCGCCCAGACCATTTCAATGAGCTGAAGTGGTCTAGGTGCCTACAGTGTCCCTTTTAGTAGATCAAAATAGCCTAATATCTTATGCTGACAGTCACCACGTTATCTGTTTAGTCAGTGTTCTGTTTCATACTCAGTGTGTCAGAGTACAAAGCCAAAGCAACAACCTCTCTACCATTACCTAGATACTCATTGACTGTGCTGTATATTTGACTCGCAGAGCAAAGAAGTCTCAATGCCAGTCAAGGAGGCCATCATGGAGCTGAGAAACCACAAAAAATCCACAATAAGAGACATTGCCAAAACACTGGGGGTCTCAAAATCAACAGTTTTGTACATTGTTAAGAAGCAGGAGCGCACTGGAGGCCTCAGCAATAGTAAACGATCTGGTAGACCCCGAAAGACCACAGTAATGGATGACCAAAAGATGTTTGCCATTCTGGAAAAAAACCCTAGTTCCACTGTCGAACAGATCAAGATCACACTCCAGAATGTAGGTATTGAGGTGTCAGAAAGTACCATAAAGAGAAGACTTCACCAGCAGAAAATTAGAGGGTTCACCTCCGCATATAGACCAATGGTAAGGCCTAGTCACAATCCATGCCCACTAGCCCGCCACAAAACAATCCCATAACATGAGATCTCTTACAGGTGTGTGAAGAAACAAATCCAATGGGGAACACCTTGCCTGTCACCAACTTCCTGGGCTGGTGTGAGGAGATGGGCTTGGAACTGAGTCCTAAGGTGAGGAACTGGGAGAGAGCATATTGTGACATCTTTAAAGAAGACAACATGGAGCATGTGTGTTTAATTGTAATATATTTTTGTATTTCGGGGTTCTGTGTACCCCCAGGTGTATATCAGTTCAGAAGGTACTGTGGCACAATATGGCATGATGGCGCGTGAGGACATCTTGGTCGGGGAAGTTCTGTTCAGCATTCCTAGGTCTGCGCTTCTATCCCAGAATACAACGAGGGTCCACGATCTGCTGTTGAAAGGTATTGTGAAGCGACTCTAAGATTAACGGTTAATGTGATGGATTGTTCTGTAATAAACTCTGAGAAGAATATGTTTGGATTCAAGGAAATGTAGATGGATTTTTATTTTATTTTTTATTCCATTTTTTGTCACTAGCAGACATTTGACAGAATCTTAGTCATAAAAAAAAAACTTGATGCAATTGTAGATTATGCTAGCTTCAGTGTACCTATAAGCTTAATTTTATTAATGACAGGAGGTGAATATTTGCTCAAGTCTCTCTTTACTAGAACTCCACAGCAGCACATTAACACAGAGAAAAAAACACCAATCAGAAAAAAGTAAGGAACCATAAAACTCCACTCCCCACACATAACGTCCTCTTTCAAGCTGCGACAAAACAGAATAAAACCACGCAGTGTAACATAAGTCCTTCTAGGCAGTGAGGTCAACGATGTCATCCAGCCGAGAGGACAGATTATAAACTGTGGTGCCGCGGACAGATTATAAACTGAAACGAGAAAAACATAGTCGAAAGGGCTGGTTAGATAATGAAATATACTCTGAAAAAACATGCAGTCAAGGGTAGAGATGAAAAAACTGGGAGGGAAATACTCGCCTCCTGTCAGTAATAAAATTAAGATTATAGGTACCACTAAAGCTAGCATAATCTACAATTTTATAACATGACAGGAGGCTTCATATTTGCTGTTTTAACACTCAGTCAACAAGACAAACATCTGGTCGCACCATAGAATTCTCTGGCTAACCATGCGAATTGTGGAATATTTGACTGTGGCCGACGAAGCACTCCTAAGGGTGCTGAACCCCGGAACTTCACCACCTGGGACAGGGTGCGGGTCAACTTTCCTTGGAAGACTGCGAAGCCCTGGTATACGAACAAGGGGAGCGTAAAGTGAGGTTGAGATCTGTCCAGGGCATCCTCGCGGGAGAGTAATAAGGAGTCCAGCTATGAGGTAATGGAAACCTTTGTAAACGAAGATGAGCTGTCATTGGTCTTAACAGTTGGTGAATCACCAAGAGCCCGCACTTATATTGGAGAGTAGATAGGTTGACCAGGCCGCTCGTTCCCCAGGAAACACAGCGAACGTTGGTACATGGAACAGAAAACTACAGATTCCGGAGGTTAAAGACCGTGTGTAAACTCGCCTGACTTCTTACGAATAAGAAGGCTGGATCCATAGAAACCCCCGGAAGCTGACACACTCTTTAGTCGACCAGGGTCTAGAGTTTGATGTCTACAGGCACCTGGCAGTCTGCCGCCCAGACCTGGTTCGGTGGGAATGATGTCTGTATAGTGATGGAATAGTTTAAAATGGCTGAAGTAATGACCCCGCTGTCGTTCAGCCCTGCCAGAAAAACCGAGGTGGGGTCTGATGAAACGCTCATGACACTGAAGAGTGGGCTCTATTGAGTGTGGTGTGTAAGTCCATGTGTTTGAGAATTCTTTAATAATGTTTCTCCAAAGCCTATGTCCTAAGCCAGGACCCCGTTCTTAATTCAGGGTCTGCAATCTCAGCATCTATACGAAGGAACGTCACCTATCTTCGTTCAGTGCATATTGATACCTAGATGTAACGGAGCTCCCTGTACCCCTGGCTGAGTACATCTGCCAAGGACCACTTCCTAGCTGGAACAAGGGAAAAAACCGCAGCACTTCTTCCCATTGTCGCCGTGGCTTGACTTTGGCCCCGGAACGGCTCCTTCCTGGAGCCGAATGGGGAATTGGCTCTAGTCCTTACAAGGACTTTCCCCGTTGAATCCCCTGCAAGCTGGAACAGCAGACACATGAGTAAATCTTTCCCTCCAATAACGGGACGACACACAGTTTTGGAGTGTAAACTGGAATATATTTTAATGGAGCCACACTGGCCTTTTATAACAATCCCCAAGCAAGGTGTACGCCCACATGGACCTTGTTGGGGACAGGGACACAAACTTACAAACCAATAATAACACATTTACAATGTAAGGCACTCCCACACATGACACACAATCCCTCCCCTCTGCTCGGGAGATAATTGGATCAGTTACTGTACTAATTCTAATCCAATTATCTCCAAGCAAAGAAAAAACACACATTTCTAAAAAGTACCAAAAATACATGCTATCCCCACAAATGTTACATCCCCTGATCGCCCTGATCTGGGTGACCAACATATCCAAAAATCATCCAGATCAGTTTTGACCCACCGTGCACATGGTCCTATGCCCAAAACGGTTCCATGAAATCAGTGCTGACGGTCAGTCAAGTTTGGTAGTCTTTTACAGGTTTCCCAGCAGAGCCCATAGTCTGTGGGCAGGAGGCTGGCAAGCAGGTTCCTCCAGGAGCTCGTGGCAAACTCACTTGGAGAGGGGAGTTTGTCACACTAGCGTTGTCTAGTAGGCCTATAGGAGGGAAAGCTTAGTCTTAATAAAGACTGTTCCAGAGGGCAGCTTTGCATACGGGCTTAATTCGATAGAAGCGGGAAATTTGTCAAGTCGAGAATGTCGAATAACTTGATTTGAGACCGTCTCCGGCTGCAATCAATACCCCTGCGAGGGTCAGGTCCCGATCGTGCAAAATATGTGTAGGTCCCGCTGTCGCACTATGGGGTCATTGCGACCTTATCAGGAAGAGATGGTCTGGGCATTCTGCCCGAATCTTGGATGCACTTCCCGGTCTAGGGATCTACAAGTTCAGGAATGTACATACTGGGCCAAATGATCGGGAGCCAGCTGTTGGGTGACTTAGGGTGATGAGTGGAATGCTGGTCGAAAAGAGGTTTCTCTCATTGAATCCAAGCAGATGTAGCTGTTTGGACCTGATGTAGTTTGTTGCGCAGGATATAAACAAGGGAAGCATTCGTGACTGATTCGTGTACAAAGGGAGAGTTCTCCATCTCCGAACCTTGTCAGCTATCTTATCCTCAGAGGTTGTGTTCCTACCCAGTATCTATTTGGGATAAATGGCAGGAGGAACTGTAGAGCTGACCAGAGACCTCTGGTCTTTTCACGTGCTTGGTCATGCACTATCTGACATGGAGTAGTGGGTCTTCCCCAGTCTAGTAGCACTTGCGGGATTGTGTGTGTCTGTTTTTGGAGGCATCAGAATCTTCTGATTCCTCCAACAGGAGAAAATGCCTGAGGGTTTGTCCATAGTGGCGTAATTAAAAGCATTGCATAACAGTCTGCTCAATGCCATGCAGATTATAAAATGTGTGTGTGTGTGTGTGTATACATATATTATAATAAATGGTATGAAGATAGCACTCCAAGGACTTAGAAGTATTGTGAAAAAACGTATCTTTTATTCAGGCATCTGCCATGGTGAATCAACGTTTCAGTTCTCTAATGGAAGTTTCGTCAGGATACAGTGCAATACAACAGACAGTGTTTAAATAGCCTGAAACAGTAATGAACACACAGTATACAGCCTGTACTTACAATTAACCCCTGGAATGCAGCCAGCTGGAGTGAAAAAGTCGCAGGTAAATGTGACCCAGTATGGCTACAACTGCTGGCGCGGAGAGCTGGATTAAACTGTTTGCGTTCCACTGGTTGGCATGGTTACTAGTTGGAACGTGAGGGGGCGTGTCTAACAAGCACAACTGGCAGCCGATTGTAACCTAACGGCTAAGAGAAGAGATCGTAGTAATGAGAATCGGCCTAAATGGGGAAGATACAAAGTAAATCATGCTTGTGCAGTAATCGCCAGCAGCAGTATAAGGGGTGAAAACACCGAAAAAATCTAACTGTTTAGGACGGCTGGGGTGAAGTCACAGGTGGGATAACTGGATGGTAGGAGGCTATGTATAAGCCGATCTAAGGCATAAGTGACAGCCTAGGAGGATGGGGAACCGTATTTAGAGCATGAATGATCACCTCTTTACTGAGAATACAGTAGAGGGCTACAGTGCTGGTGTGCAAGTAGTGAGCACATTATGTACTATGAGGGAAGGGGAATCACAGGGTTAGCAGTTAGAGAAGAGATAGATATATAATATGAGATGTGCCTAAGCCATATTTTAGATCCTTGAAGCCAGCTAGGTATATTAGTAAGCAAAGTATGAACAGTAATATCCCCAGGGACTTAATCGAAAATTATAAGTAATGTTCAATGAAGCAGATGTACAGTATCAACAGCATAATCTATTGAACACAGAATATAAAGTGTAACTTAAAGGACCACTCTAGGCACCCAGACCATTTCAGTTTAATGAAGTGGTCTGGGTGGCAGGTACCTCTAGGATTAACCTTTTTTTTTTTTTATAAACATAGCAGTTTCAGAGAAACTGCTATGTTTATAAATGGGTTAATCCAGCCTCCAGAGCCTCTAGTGGCTGTCTCATTGAGAGGCGCTTGCGTGCTTCTCACTGTGAAAATCACAGTGAGAGCACGCAAGCGTCCATAGGAAAGCATTATAAATACATTCCTATGCAACCGGCTGAATGCGCGCGCGGCTCCTGCCGCGCATGCGCATTCAGCAGATGACGTCGCGAGCAAGGAGGAGTACAGCTCCCCGCCCGGCGCTGGAGAGAGGTAAGTGTTTAACCCCTTCCTCTCCCCAGAGCCGGGCGGGAGGGGGACCCTGAGGGTGGGGGCACCCTCAGGGCACTATAGTGCCAGGAAAACGAGTATGTTTTCCTGGCACTATAGTGGTCCTTTAAGAGTTGGTTAAAAGTATCAAGTACGATCTGGCACTCTAACAATTTAAACAAAATAACCAAAATGTGTGATCAGGTCAGAGGTACAGGAAGGTACAGGGAGACACAGTGTAACTCCTGTAGTGTCTGATTGGAGTCAAGTAGTATATACCCACACCTTCACTTCTACTAGGTAATGAGAAATTATCCAAACAATTATGGGAAAAAATATTAAAAACCAGAATGTATACTCAATGACCAGAGAGAGATTAGCTTGCATAGGTAATAGGTGTATTTAGATCAGGTTCTAAGGACAAAGTATATTACAATAATACTGGTCTTATGGAGCTGATCATAGAAATATCCCTAGGGAGTGTTTCTCGTTAAGTCCTTTAGGGTAGAGTTTCAAGAGTTTTGATCCAATATAGTTCTTTCTGTAATAGAAGCTTCTTACAGTCACCGCCCCTAATTGGTAGAGGTATGTGGTAGATTGCCATAAACTTCATGGAGGGTAATGGATGGTTTTGCCACAGGTAGATCGGAGCCATTATCCCTGTAGGCTACACGTATACTGGAGCGGTGGTTGCAGATTCTCTCTCGTAGTGGCAAGTCAGTTTTCCCTATGTATGCCAATCCACAGGGGCACTGCAGTTTATATATAACAAAGTCATTTGTACAGGTCAAACGGTGGTGGATTATGTATTTCTTCCCAGTGTGGGGGTGTGTGAACGTCTTGCTAGGTATCATATGGCTACATGTCACACACCCCCCAGTGGAACGCAAACAGTTTAATCCAGCTCTCTGCACCAGCGGTTGTAGCCATACTGGGTCACATTTACCTGCGACTTTTTCACTCCAGCTGGCTGCATTCCAGGGGTTAATTGTAAGTACAGGCTGTATACTGTGTGTTCATTACTGTTTCAGGTTATTTAAACACTGTCTGTTGTATTGCACTGTATCCTGACGAAACTTCCATTAGAGAACTGAAACGTTGATTCACCATGGCAGATGCCTGAATAAAAGATACGTTTTTTCACAATACTTCTAAGTCCTTGGAGTGCTATCTTCATACCATTTATTATAATATATGTATACACACACACACACACACATTTTATAATCTGCATGGCATTGAGCAGACTGTTATGCAATGCTTTTAATTCATACCGTTTATTTTATATCTACTTGCTGATAAGCACCGCTTACTCTTTACAAACAGGAGTGTAAATATTATAATCTCTCTCTCGCTCTCTCCTTAATAACTGGGGCTCACCCAGTAATAATAATAACCTCCAGGAAAATATCCAGTAGGGAGGTAGAGTGGCACAGACAAAGCAGGCCAGTCAGATCCAATAGCCAAGGCAAGGCAAGGCAAGGATATGTAATAATATGATGGGGAGTTCACCCCCAGTAATATAGTATAGTAGCAGACCGCATTCGATAGGGTAAATTATATTATGTAGTAACTGGGGCTCACCAAGTAATATTCCCCCAGAATACATTTCAGGTATAATAGTATATAGCATAAGCTAGGGCACTCACTCAAGAAGCCCTTCCCACTCCCCCCCGCGGCAATTAAAGGCAGGATCTCATGCAAGTGCGCGAGATTAAAGATGGCCACCGAAAATACTCAAGCTCGGGAAAGGCAGGAAGAAGCCTCCCGATGTCCCCAAACCCCAGAAACACAAGGGTACAGCCAGATTAGGGAGACCCAGGGAGGAAACCACCAACCGAAAAATAAAAGGTAGGATAGGAAGGTGAGAAAGGGGTAAGCCAGGATAGAAATAGTGACCAGAAAGTGCACAAGAATTATAGGCAACTATACCAATAAGTACTAATCAATAAAGGTGCAAGAAATCGGTAATATAAAATCCCAAAGAAAGAGGGAGTTATGTGTGGGGTGGGGAGGGGACATTTTTAATGTATCTAACTTTTTTCTGATTGTTTTTTTTTTTCTCTATGTTAATGTGCTGCTGTGGAGTTCTAGTAAAGAGAGACTTAAGCAAATATGAAGCCTCCTGTCATGTTATAAAATTCTGAGAATACCGCTTCCTATCAGAAAACCTGGTAAATATTTTAAATCAAAAGCAACAGGCGTTTGGACAAGTCCCACCCCTCACACACATCACCTTCTGCTTGGTGGCTGCTGTAAAGTGTGTGTCCTGGCACATTGATATCCTTCAGTGGTCCTCTGATGTCCATGACAATATCCTTCATGTGCTTCCTACTTGGGAGGGGGAGAACTTAGCACAGTGTGGTGAGTCGTGGAGAGCAGTGATGTGGGATAGTTTAAAAGGCTTTGTGATATAGACAGACAAGCCCATGACAGATCCTGGGAGGGTATGGGAGTCCGGAGTGGCTCTGTGGCAGATAAGATCTTTGTTTAGTAGGTAATTCATACTCAAAAACTGCTGGGAAATAGGGTCTTCCAGTTTTGATTATGAAAGTTGTTTGACTGCATCCTAAATGTCTTATCTTTTCGCAGAGCAGGAGACTCTGGCCAGCCCGTCTGGGTGGGTTCCACTTCTCATCGCTCTCATGTATGAAGCTACGGATAGCGGCTCCCCTTGGGCACCTTACTTTGGGCTCTGGCCTGTCTTGGATCCTCCTGACCTACCCATGTTTTGGTGAGTTAATTGGAGCTATGTGCAGAATATGTCCTGAACACCTCGCACTCTGTCCTACCTGGGAACGGGGGGGGGGAGTTCCACTCTCTGTTCTACCTGGGGAGGATACAGCTTTCTGTCTTCCCTCAGGACTATCCCCGGGGGGTCCCACTCTCTGTCCTACTTGGGGAGGGTCCCACTTTCTGTTTTACCTCAGGACTATCTCCCTGGAGGGGGACGCTCTCTGTTCTACTTGGGGGAGGGGGTGAGTGTGTCCTGCTCTCTGTCCTGTCTGGATGAGACTATAGAGTGTTTTTCTATTCTGACCAAACTGCCCTCTTTGGAAATGTGTACATGTTCCCATGAATTCCAGGCAAATATCTGTATATAACAGAACAGAGAATGCCGAGTACAACCACCTGTGGCACACAGGCAGCTCTGGTGATTGGCCGGGCTGTATGTCACATGGTGTACATGGTTCTGTCATCATATGTCCTAAACAAATCCTGTCACATCTTGCTACCATCACCCACGTATTGTGGGTAGCTGCCTGTGGCACTGCGACTATAACCAGCTTGTTCCAGAGCCCCATGAAATGTTGGCATGTGACTTCTGTTATTAGGTCCGACAAGGAAAAGACAACACTCCTACAAGGAACTGGAGTGTCCGAAGCTGTGAAGAAAGATCTGGAGAACATGGAGCAGGAATATGAATCCATCGTCTTACCTTTTATCCAGAGACATCCGCACTTGTTTAACCCTGAGGAACACTCCCTGGATTTGTACAAGAGGCTGGTGGCATTTGTTATGGCATACAGGTGAGAGGACACGTCTCTGGTCCAGCACACAATGGCCATTTTAAAGAAATACTCCTTATATTCCCTGTAAAAGTTTTATTTATTGGATATTTGCCGTTACTGGATGGCTTTTCCAGGTATCTACTACCCTTTCTATATCACTGTCCGCCTACAGCGTGTCTTACCACCTGTGTGCAGTGGTTGTACAGTTTTTGTAATTTGTAAAGTATTAAGGTGACTTTAAGGTTTAATCAAACCCTTTTGATTGTATATTTAAAAAAAAAACAACAAAAAAAAAACAGCTTCAATTTATAGTCAAAGGGACACTATGGTCACCGAAACAACTTTAGCTTTTAGCCCCTCCAGTGACACTGCTCAATCCTCTGCCATTTTGGAGTTAAATCACTTTGTTTATGAACCCTAGTCACACCTCCCTGCATGTGACTTACACAGCCTTCATAAACACTTCCTGTAAAGAGTCATCTAATGTTTACACTTTCTATATTGCACATTCTGTTTAATTTAGAATATCTTATTTCCTGCTCTGTTAATAGTTTGCTAAACCCTGCAGGAGCTTCCTGTATGTAATTAAAGTTCAACTTAGAGAGTAGAAAATAAAAACTTCTAAAGCAAGTTAAGATCTGAAAGTGAAACCATTTTGTTTTCATGCAGGCTCTGTCACTCACAGCCAGGGGAGGTGTGGCTAGGGCTGTATAGACCGAAACAAAGTGATTTAACTCCTAAATGGCCGAGAATTAAAGATAGAGCATTCACTATACAGCAAAACTGCTTCATTAAGATAGTGGTTTTTTTTTTTTTTTTGTGACTATAGTCCTTTTAACCTTTATTAACCTATTTTGTTTTTTAAGGGTTTCTCTTTGTTCTGGTTTAGTCTAATCCAACCTGGAATTAAAGCTAATATCACACTATTTGGGTTTTTCTGTAGTGAAATCCCAGACTCTATTACTGACCGTAGTAATGAGGGCTACCAGGAAGCCAAGCCTCTGATGTTAAACAAGGACAGTCACCCAATTAAGGTTTGGGTGCTGGAGACAGAAATACAGTTGCAAGAAAAAGTATGTGAACCCTTTGGAATGATATGGATTTCTGCACAAATTGGTCATAAAATGTGATCTGATCATCATCTAAGTCACAACAATAGACAATCACAGTCTGCTTAACCCCTTAAGGACTGGACTGTTTTTGCGATGTTGTACATTTGCGACCAGGAATATTTTTACACTTTTGTGGTGTTTGTGTTTGGCTGTAATTTTCAGCTTTCTCATTTACTGTTCCCATACAAATTATATATTGTTTTTTTCAGGACAAAAGGGGCTTTCTTTACATACCATTATTTATATAATCTCATGTATTTTAATTTAAAAATAAATAAAAAAAAAGATGAGAAATCTTAAAAAATACATGTTTTTTTTACTTTTAGTTGAAAAATCTTTTACTCATCTACAAAAGCGAATGAAAAAAACTGCTAAAAAGATTCAAAATTTTGTCCTGAGTTTAAAAATACCCAGTGTTTACGTGCTTTTTTTTTTTTTGCATGTTATAGGGCTATAGGTAAAAGTAGGATATTGCGGTTTCAAAACATACATTTTTAAAATTTATCAATAGTGACATTATAACACTATTATCTGTCAAATCTCTGAATAACACCCCACATGTACATATTTTTTTTTTAAAGTAGACAACCCAGGGTATTCAATATGGGGGATGTCCAGTCTTTTTTAGTAGCCACTTAGTCGAAAACACTGGCCAAAGTAAGCATTCATATAGTAGCCACTTAGTCGAAAACACTGGCCAAAGTAAGCATTCATATTTGTTTGTGTGTGAAAAAAGTAAAAAACCTAAATTGAACACTAATTTTGGCCAGTGTTTGTAACGAAGTGGTTACTAAAAAAGACTGGACATACCCCATTTGCAATACCTTGGGTTGTCTTCTTTTGCAAATGGTATGCCATCATGGGGGTAATTCTCATTCCTGGGCTACCATACGCTCTCAAAGGCAACGTAACCAACCTGGCCATTTTCAATGTAAAAATATTTGACCCTTTAACGTTCAAAAATGCTATAAAACCTGTACATGGGGGGGTACTGTTTTACTCGGGAGACATCGCTGAACACAAATATTAGTGTTTAAAAACTGGAAAACGTATCAACAATTATATCAGTAAAAGTGCTGTTTGTGTGTGAAAAATGCAAAAAAAGTAACTTTCACTGACAATATCATCGCTGTGATATGTTTTACTGTTTTGAATCACTAATATTTGTGTTCAGCTAAGTCTCCCGAGTAAAACAGTACCCCCCATGTACAGGTTTTAGGGTGTCGTAGAACGTTACAGGGCAAAATACAGTGCTAGCAAATTAAATTCTCTGGACTTTCGGCCTGGGTTGGCAGGCAGGTCCCTCAAATTGCAATCAATAAAATTAATTATGTAAAAATATTACATAAATACGCACGTAGAATTTAATATATATGCATACTTATATATTTGAAGTCTACGTGTATATTTTTATAATTATTTATGTAATTTTGTATATGGACATATGTATATTTCGTATTTTTATTTATATATACAAATTCATTCTAAGTGTATTTTGATATAAATACATAAATTTTAAAATACAGTTAGAATAAAATTTCATTTAGATATAATTTTTTTCAATTTTTATTATTTAAAAAAAATTTTTTAATTTAAATTACTTATTTATATTTTATAATATATATATACACACAATATATATACGCCTTCTGAAGTGGCCCAGTCAGAGTCCTGACCTCAACCCGATTGAGATGCTGTGGCATGACCTCAAGAAAGCGATTCACACCAGACATCCCTAGAATATTGCTGAACTGAAACAGTTCTGTAAAGAGGAATGGTCAAGAATTACTCCTGACCGTTGTGCACGTCTGATCTGCAACTACAGGAAACATTTGGTTGAAGTTATTGCTGCCAAAGGAGGTTCAACCAGTTATTAAATCCAAGGGTTCACATACTTTTTCCACCTGCACTGTGAATGTTTACATGGTGTGTTCAATAAAAACATGGCAACATTTCATTCTTTGTGTGTTATTAGTTTAAGCAGACTGTGATTGTCTATTGTTGTGACTTAGATGATGATCAGATCACATTTTATGACCAATTTGTGCAGAAATCCATATCATTCCAAAGGGTTCACATACTTTTTCTTGCAAATGTATAACAGTGATATTGAACGTTCTGTTTTTTTTTTTTTTTTTTCCTATTCTTTGTTTCTCTTATTTTACTTTGCATGTTTTGTCGGTATGTCAAATAGTTAAAGGGATTCTCCAGTGCCAAGAAAGCAAACCCGTTTCCCTGGCACTAGAAAATCCTGGAGTGCCCTCATCCCATGCCGCTGAAGGAGTTAAAACCCTTTCAGCTACTTACCTGAATCCAGCGTCGATGTCCCAGAGCGCTGGGTGAGGCTCCGTTCATGCTCCTCCCCCGCCATCAGTCAGCGGGAGAGACCTAATGCGCATGGGCAGCAATGGCCACACGCGCATTAGACCAATGCTTTCTTATGGGGAAAATCTGACGTCCTCCTCACGGACCTGCAACGTCAGATAACGGACCAAAAGTCTGTTTTGATTCCGGAAGCGCCCCCAGTGGCTGTCTGGTAATCAGCCACAGAGGGCAGACTTTTTACATTGCAGCACTAAGTGCAAAAGGGTCACAGCACCGAGACCACTTCAATTAGCTGAAGTGCTCTGGGTGCCTACAGTGTCCCTTTAACCTGAGGCATCCTGGGACATTGAAATGCCGAAGATAAAAAATTCACAGATTCTAGTTAAAACACTTGGTATCTTAGGAGAAGCAAACCTGGTTTGAACACAATGCAAGATGGCGTGCTTAGTCCTTCATTATAAACCAGAGGCTGCAAGCTGTTATTTCAGCAACCTTGGATAAATAACAAACTCTTGCATTGCAACCCAGCAAACTCCTTAACCCAATCTTTGCCAGTTATACTGTAACTTCCTTTGGCTGCTCAAATTCTGGAATTGACTCCCCCTCTTTAAACGGACCTGGTGAAGGCTCGTCAAAGACACTGTGCTGAAACGTTGACCTGTTAATTGAAAGTTTCATGTGAGAGCAGTAAAGTGCACACCAATCAATTTACACCGAATGAAACTCCAATTCAGGGAAGGCAATCTTCAGAACTTGAGATGTTGTGGACTACGTCTCCCAAAAAGCATCTGGAGTGCTGAAGCTTGTCTATTCCTGCTGCCTATTTAAACAATTAATGGTCGACATTAACAGAAATGTAACAAATTCTCCATATTTTAATCAGCTTTCAGGAGTCGCTAGAAGAGGAAGAGGAGGACTCTGGAAAGGAGGATAACCCACCCATGATGGTGCCTGTGGCTGACCTCCTAAACCATGTGGCACAGCACAATGCACACTTGGAGTTCACACCGGTACGTGGTCCTGTGCCTCTGGTATACTCTATATCCGAGCTGATGTGTGTGTCCCCTGGAATCCAGGATATTTGCTTGAAGTGCTCTCTTCCTCGTTCACGTCACACCCCCTCACCCTATGATCTTTCCTTTAGGACTATCTCCGCATGATCACCACGCGGCCGGTCCAGGCTGGGCAAGAGCTATTTAACACCTATGGGCAGATGGCAAACTGGCAGCTCTTGCACATGTACGGATTCACAGAGCCCCATCCCCAAAACAGCAACGATACGGCAGATATTCAGATGACAACGCTCCGCAAGGCTGCATTATACGGTTAGTAAGTCAATCCCTGACCCTCAATTACCACCATCGAGTAACTGGCCAAATCTGCTGCACATTATGATACCGGATCCAATGCTGGCCGTGCTGTCCACTTGCTGCATACGCAATGTACCTGTGTGGCCGGTGATAAGCACCCAGTCGTTGAATCTGCGTTTTTATTTTTGAGTTTGACATGTGACATTGTGTGACCACCTGTTTGCTGTATCCCCAGCTGCCACTTCAGAAGATGGCTGTGCCCGGGTGCAGGAGCGCTGGGACTTGCTGTGTGACATGGAGATGGTGGGAGAGGAAGGGGCCTTTGTGTTTGGCTGTGAGGAGGTCATGACAGATGAAGAACTGAGGACCTGCCTGAAGGTAAATCCATATAAAATATACACAGCCAGTTGTCCTCCAACGTGTGACAATGTATCTACAGTCTTACATATCAGATACAGGATGCCCCAAAACTTAGAAACTATATGGAGGATGCATGGTGTCCCTCAACATCGGTAATACAGCGAGGGCAACCTACTATTACCTTTAAATAGGATACAGGGCTTGTCTCACTTGTAGATTGGGTTTCGGGCATCTCTTATGCTAAATGTAATAAAGGCAGCTGATCTAATGGATTGGCTTTGTTCTGAGGTTATGGAAAGCCACATATTTTAGCCATTTCATGTCACTGAAGTTGTTATAGTGTGAGTTTCCTCCATATTCCAGCAGTTTAAAGTGATTCTGTAATGGGCATACATTGAATACATCTCACCTCTATTCCAGGGCTTCCCGGGTGTCTGCCCTCCGCTCTTTACACAGTCTTCTTTCATTTGCCAACCCTCCTCAGTGACACCAGCACGGCGCTGTTCCTAAACTCCTCGGAGCACTTGCTATACTTTGGAGAGCGGGTCTGCCTGCAGCTGGTCTTTTTACACTCCCTTGTCAGTAAATTGACAGCATAGAGTCCATGCCAAATGGACCAAATTTGACTGTAGCACCATGACCACTTCAAATCACTGCTGTAAAGTTTGGCTTTAACTTACAGTTTGCACGCTGCCACCTACCCCCAGAAATGTCTTTATTAAAGACAAGCAATGAAAAATGTTTTATTGGAAAAAGAAAACCTAAAACAATTCTGAAATCCAGAAAATGTCATTTTAGGGAAGTTCCCTGGAGCTAGTTTATATTAATGGTTGCCAGGCCCCCCCCAACCTCGTGCTGGCTTCAGTCACTTCACGAGAGTAGATACGCTGTCCTCCTGGTTCAAGCAAATAACGGAACCCACAAGCAGTCAGACATTTTCGTTGAAACAGCCTCGGTTCCTTTAACCCCTTAAGGACACATGACATGTGGGACATGTCATGATTCCCTTTTATTCCAGAAGTTTGGTCCTTAAGGGGTTAAATAAATAAAGGAATTTCTCTTGTGAAAGGACTATAGCTCCCACATGAGTATGTTAAATGTAGACGGGTGGAGATACATGGCATGGAGGTCACTGGTTATGTTGTGGGGGAGAGAGGGTATAGAAAGCACAGGGTATTGGGGGGCAGTCCCAGGATACCGCGTGACTGGGTATATGGGGGGCAGTCCCGGGATGCCGCGTGACCGGCTTATAATGTGTTGTGTTTTTGCTCAGGTGCTCTGTATGTCTGCTGAAGAGTTTGCGGAATACAAGGAGAATGAGGGCTGGGAGGAAGATGAAGATGATGACGACGAACAGACACTGATAATGGAAGACTTATCAAGGCTGCCGGCGCCGTGGCGTCAGCTACTACATGCCAGCACCATCCTCACTTTGAAGGACTTTGCTTCCGACCTGGACAGTGACCACGCCATGATCACCAATGCTGCAACGTACGCTAAGCTGAGTGTCAGGGAGCGCCATGCTCTCCAGGTGCGATACGGCCAGAAACGCATTTTACACAGGATCTTGGAACTAACAAACTGACTGGCACCCAGGAACTGGAAGACTTGTTTATTTTAGCATTGTTTAAATAAAATGGATGCCTTTTCTAAGGAAGCATGTCTGATAATACAGGGATTTCTAACAGTTTATTAACATCATTAGTAAGTCTGTACGTGAAGGGTTCTGAAGGACCCTTTTTCAACTCCGTTGGGTCGGCAAAGAGCGTCGCTGTCACCCCAAACTCTCTCCTTTCTCCTATTGTTTGTCTCTCTTCCTGAATCTGTACTTTTGTTAATCTTAAACCAAAGTATTGAAACAGGAAGCTGCGGATGCCAGTGGTGCCCTTCAGAGTAACATCATGATAGCTGTAGTTTTAAATCAGCCAGGGATCTACCTTTTGAGGCTTCCTCATTCTAACTTAAAGGGATACTCCAGGCACCCAGACCTTAAAGGAACACTGTCACCTAAATTACTTTAGCTAAATAAAGCAGTTTTAGTGTATAGATCATTCCCCTGCAATTTCACTGCTCAATTCACTGTCATTTAGGAGTTAAATCACTTTGTTTATGCAGCCCTAGCCACACCTCCCCTGGCTATGATTGACAGAGCCTGCATGAAAAAAAAACTGGTTTCACTTTCAAACAGATGTAATTTACCTTAAATAATTGTATCTCAATCTCTAAATTGAACTTTAATCACATACAGGAGGCTCTTGCAGGGTCTAGCAAGCTATTAACATAGCAGGGGATAAGAAAATCTTAATTAAACAGAACTTGCAATAAAGAAAGCCTAAATAGGGCTCTCTTTACAGGAAGTGTTCATGGAAGGCTGTGCAAGTCACATGCAGGGAGGTGTGACTAGGGTTCATAAACAAAGGAATTTAACTCCGAAATGGCAGAGGATTGAGCAGTGAGGCTGCAGGGGCATGTTCTATACACCAAAACTGCTTCATTAAGCTAAAGTTGTTCAGGTAACAATAGTGTCCCTTTAACTCTGCAAGTGTAATTATTGCAGTTTTCATAAACTGCAACAATAATTACCTTGCAGGGTTAACTTCCGTGTTCTTAGAACACAAAGTATGTTATACAACGCTGGACGTTTTCGCCCTATTTGAGGACCCCCAGTGTCGCCAAAATCCCCATAGGAAAGCTTTCCTATGGGGAAGTCTAATTAGGTGTCCCCCGACGGCTGACTTCGGCCAGGCAGGAGAGTAGGCGGAGTCTGACCAGCGTGAGGGACAAAAGACTAATGTTTTCCTGGCCCTGGAGAATCCCTTTACGAGAAACAGGTAGAGCTAAGACACGCTGGATTCAAGACTCTGGGGCTAAATTGCTTATTGGTGGTTTAACCCCTACAGGTAACCCTGCACCAGGCACCATAACTCTATAATCCATAAATATAAACCTCTTTACCTTGTTTTTAACAGATATATACAAATGGGGTGATTGTGTATTACTTACCAAGTCAAGAAAGCATGATAATGCAATGCCCATGCAGTATCACTCCTCAATTCTCTGCCATTTAGGAGTTAAGTATTTTTTGTTTCTGATATTATGTTGGTATCACTTTAATTTCAGCATATACATAAAAAGGGAGGAAAACACATAAAAGGGGGTGATAGTGTAAATCTGTATAATTCTTTGTGACTGTGAAATAATCGAGCAAAATGCCAACTCACCTAGTACAAAGCCTGGAGTAGGATAGGCTCAAATCACTTTCGTGCCGTCTGGTGGTACTGTCCCCTTTACGAATGTTAGTAATTTTCCTCAGAGAAGGGAGATATAAGGGTGGTACAATAGAGAATAATATAGTGTAGTATTATAGGGGACACCTTCCCTTCTTAGAGCAGGTTGATGAGGACCAGAAGCGGACTTTGATAAAAATAATAAAATGTATTCTACCAATATAAGTTAAAATACAAAGTAAATCTATATAGACAACAAAATCAAATGAAGAATGTCCAGCAAGCTTCCTCCTATTCCGAGACGCGTTTCACCCTACTTGAGGGCTTTTTCAATCGGTATACCTGCTCTAAGAAGGGAAGGTGTCCCTTTAAGTGACACCAAAGCTTGCAAACCTAGAGTCAGGTACCTGAGCTCTGACTAAGGTGAGCACTCATTTAAAGTCACAGTATACTCACCTTTAACTCAAAGTACTACACTATATTATTCTGTATTGTACCACCCTTATATCTCCCTTCTCTGAGGAAAATTACCAACATTCTTAAAGGGGACAGTACCACCAGACGGTACTAAAGTGAAAGTGATTTGAGCCTATCCTACTCCAGGCTCTGTACTAGGTGAGTTGGCATTTTTCTTGATTATGTCACAGTAACAAAGAAATATACAGATTTACACTATCACCCCCTTTTATGTGTTTTCCTCTCTTTTTATGTATATGCTGAAATTAAAGTGATACCAACATAATATCAGGACCAGACGACCCTTATACAGGGTAGGTGTCCATAATATAACTACATTCTCCACTCATACAGGTGAACTACCTCTGGCTTTTCTCCCTTTTCTTTGGTTTCTATATTTTGAGGTGGGTGTGAGGGATCCCCACAAGAGTACTGAAGCAGTCTTTCTATCCTTTATTGAATATACCATAAACACTAAAGTGCCTTTAGTACACAGTTCTCTCTGTATTTTTCTATTTTTGTTTCTGTTTATGCAGCCCGCATAGAAGAGGAGGAAAAAAAAAAAAAAAAGTTGCATTTTCAAATCAGATGTTAACTTGCTTTATACATTTTTATCTCCTGCTCTGTAAAGTGAACTTTAATCACACATAAGAGGTTCCTGCAGGGTCTAGAAAGCTATTAACAGAACAGGAGATGAGAAATTTTAAATTAAACACACTGTGCAATACAGGAAGTGTATACATTAGATGACTTTACAGGAAGTGTTTAAGAAGGCTGTGTAAGTCACATGCAGGGAGGAATGCATAAAGTGATTTAACTCCTAAATGGCAGAGATTTGAGCAGTGAGACTGCAGAAGTTATTGTTTATACACCTGAACCGCTTAATTGAGCAATTAAAACCCAGCATGCATGGGTGCCTGGAGTGTCCTTTAATGGCCCATAGTATTCAGAAAGTTATACAAGACTGTGAGATTAGCATATTTGCAACATTCTTTGCTGGGCAGAAGTGTCACTGAATGACGAGAGAGATCCAACATTTTAAAATCCTTGCGCCCCTTCTGGAGTGATGAGGGCAAAGTGATATACAGAATATAGCCATTCCCCACCGTCAGGTCTATAGTGTGTTTACTGCTTCAGCTGGACACGGAAAGACTTATTCCCGGCCTTACATCGGATTTCGTCTGCATAAAAGCGAGTAAGTCTCTCTGCATTCTCAAATCCATCCAATACGGTCTGAAAGAAATAATACTCCAGCTTTTAACAGCACAGCAAGTGGGGAACAGAGAGATGGAGCAACGTCTGCAGTGTTATAGCGCAGTCTGGGAATGGCTACATAGAATAGAACATTAAACGTGATGGAGCAACGTCTGCAGTGTTATAGCGCAGTCTGGGAATGGCTACATAGAATAGAACATTAAACGTGATGGAGCAACGTCTGCAGTGTTATAGCGCAGTCTGGGAATGGCTACATAGAACATTAAACATGATGGAGCAACGTCTGCAGTGTTATAGCGCAGTCTGGGAATGGCTACATAGAATAGAACATTAAACGTGCAGTGTTATAGCGCAGTCTAGGAATGGCTACATAGAATAGAACATTAAACATGATGGAGCAACGTCTGCAGTGTTATAGCGCAGTCTGGGAATGGCTACATAGAATAGAACATTAAACGTGATGGAGCAACGTCTGCCGTGTTATAGCGCAGTCTGGGAATGGCTACATAGAACATTAAACATGATGGAGCAACGTCTGCAGTGTTATAGCGCAGTCTGAGAATGGCTACATAGAATAGAACATTAAACGTGATGGAGTAACGTCTGCAGTGCTATAGCGCAGTCTGGGAATGGCTATTAGAATGGTAGAACATTAAACGCGGATGGAGCAACAAACGTGGCCTATTTGCCATAGCCGCGAAGTCTGGAATGGCTGGCATAGAACAGAAATATTAAACGATGGAGCAACGCCTGCAGTGTTATGGGAAGAAGTCTGCAAAATCGGCCGCCATAGAATAGAACATTAAACGGATGGAGCAACGCCTGCAAAGTGTTATAACGCAGTCTGGGAATGGCTACATAGAATAGAACATTAAACGTGATGGAGCAACGTCTGCAGTGTTATAGCGCAGTCTGGGAATGGCTACATAGAACATTAAACATGATGGAGCAACGTCTGCAGTGTTATAGCGCAGTCTGGGAATGGCTACATAGAACAGAACATTAAACGTGATGGAGCAACGTCTGCAGTGTTATAGCGCAGTCTGGGAATGGCTACATAGAATAGAACATTAAACGTGATGGAGTAACGTCTGCAGTGTTATAGCGCAGTCTGAGAATGGCTACATAGAATAGAACATTAAACGTGATGGAGTAACGTCTGCAGTGCTATAGCGCAGTCTGGGAATGGCTACATAGAATAGAACATTAAACGTGATGGAGCAACGTCTGCCGTGCTATAGCGCAGTCTGGGAATGGCTACATAGAATAGAACATTAAACGTGATGGAGCAACGTCTGCCGTGTTATAGTGCAGTCTGGGAATGGCTACATAGAATAGAACATTAAACGTGATGGAGTAACGTCTGCAGTGTTATAGCGCAGTCTGAGAATGGCTACATAGAATAGAACATTAAACGTGATGGAGTAACGTCTGCAGTGCTATAGCGCAGTCTGGGAATGGCTACATAGAATAGAACATTAAACGTGATGGAGCAACGTCTGCAGTGTTATAGCGCAGTCTGGGAATGGCTACATAGAACATTAAACATGATGGAGCAACGTCTGCCGTGCTATAGCGCAGTCTGGGAATGGCTACATAGAACAGAACATTAAACGTGATGGAGCAACGTCTGCAGTGTTATAGCGCAGTCTGAGAATGGCTACATAGAATAGAACATTAAACGTGATGGAGTAACGTCTGCAGTGCTATAGCGCAGTCTGGGAATGGCTACATAGAACAGAACATTAAACATGATGGAGCAACGTCTGCAGTGTTATAGCGCAGTCTGGGAATGGCTACATAGAACAGAACATTAAACGTGATGGAGCAACGTCTGCCGTGTTATAGCGCAGTCTGGGAATGGCTACATAGAATAGAACATTAAACGTGATGGAGCAACGTCTGCAGTGTTATAGCGCAGTCTGGGAATGGCTACATAGAACATCAAACATGATGGAGCAACGTCTGCAGTGTTATAGCGCAGTCTGGGAATGGCTACATAGAATAGAACATTAAACGTGCAGTGTTATAGCGCAGTCTGGGAATGGCTACATAGAATAGAACATTAAACGTGAAGGAGCAACGTCTGCAGTGTTATAGCGCAGTCTGGGAATGGCTACATAGAACATTAAACATGATGGAGCAACGTCTGCAGTGTTATAGCGCAGTCTGGGAATGGCTACATAGAACAGAACATTAAACGTGATGGAGCAACGTCTGCAGTGTTATAGCGCAGTCTGGGAATGGCTACATAGAATAGAACATTAAACGTGATGGAGCAACGTCTGCAGTGTTATAGCGCAGTCTGGGAATGGCTACATAGAATAGAACATTAAACGTGATGGAGTAACGTCTGCAGTGCTATAGCGCAGTCTGGGAATGGCTACATAGAATAGAACATTAAACGTGATGGAGCAACGTCTGCCGTGCTATAGCGCAGTCTGGGAATGGCTACATAGAATAGAACATTAAACGTGATGGAGCAACGTCTGCAGTGTTATAGCGCAGTCTGGGAATGGCTACATAGAACAGAACATTAAACGTGATGGAGCAACGTCTGCAGTGTTATAGCGCAGTCTGAGAATGGCTACATAGAATAGAACATTAAACGTGATGGAGTAACGTCTGCAGTGCTATAGCGCAGTCTGGGAATGGCTACATAGAATAGAACATTAAACGTGATGGAGCAACGTCTGCCGTGCTATAGCGCAGTCTGGGAATGGCTACATAGAATAGAACATTAAACGTGATGGAGCAACGTCTGCCGTGTTATAGTGCAGTCTGGGAATGGCTACATAGAATAGAACATTAAACGTGATGGAGTAACGTCTGCAGTGTTATAGCGCAGTCTGAGAATGGCTACATAGAATAGAACATTAAACGTGATGGAGCAACGTCTGCAGTGCTATAGCGCAGTCTGGGAATGGCTACATAGAATAGAACATTAAACGTGATGGAGCAACGTCTGCCGTGCTATAGCGCAGTCTGGGAATGGCTACATAGAACAGAACATTAAACGTGATGGAGCAACGTCTGCAGTGTTATAGCGCAGTCTGGGAATGGCTACATAGAATAGAACATTAAACGATGGAGCAACGTCTGTCGTGTTATAGCGCAGTCTGGGAATGGCTACATAGAATAGAACATTAAACATGATGGAGCAACGTCTGCCGTGTTATAGCGCAGTCTGGGAATGGCTACATAGAACAGAACATTAAACATGATGGAGCAACGTCTGCAGTGTTATAGAGCAGTCTGGGAATGGCTACATAGAATAGAACATTAAACATGATGGAGCAACGTCTGCCGTGTTATAGCGCAGTCTGGGAATGGCTACATAGAATAGAACATTAAACGTGCAGTGTTATAGCGCAGTCTAGGAATGGCTACATAGAACAGAACATTAAACATGATGGAGCAACGTCTGCAGTGTTATAGAGCAGTCTGGGAATGGCTACATAGAATAGAACATTAAACATGATGGAGCAACGTCTGTCGTGTTATAGCGCAGTCTGGGAATGGCTACATAGAATAGAACATTAAACATGATGGAGCAACGTCTGCCGTGTTATAGCGCAGTCTGGGAATGGCTACATAGAACAGAACATTAAACATGATGGAGCAACGTCTGCAGTGTTATAGAGCAGTCTGGGAATGGCTACATAGAATAGAACATTAAATATGATGGAGCAACGTCTGCAGTGTTATAGCGCAGTCTGGGAATGGCTACATAGAATAGAACATTAAACGTGCAGTGTTATAGCGCAGTCTAGGAATGGCTACATAGAATAGAACATTAAACATGATGGAGCAACGTCTGCAGTGTTATAGCACAGTCTGGGAATGGCTACATAGAATAGAACATTAAACGTGATGGAGCAACGTCTGCAGTGTTATAGCGCAGTCTGGGAATGGCTACATAGAATAGAACATTAAACATGA